TCTTCTTAGCAGATGCATTTACATAAATATAATCAACACTCTCCAAAGTTGTGTCCACCTCCTGGTTCACATGGATACAGCGTACATTATTTTGCTCCTGCTCACTATCACTGTGTTTCTGTTTCTTTTTTTTCTTTGTTTTCTTTTTGGAAGCATCTGTTACAGTTTCATTATTAATTTCACACTTCCTACCGATACAAGAATTATCTAGCCAAGAGTCTTGTTTCTCTTGCTTGGTTTTCTTTTTTTTTGATTTCTTTTTATGAACATCAATGTCCTGGGAAGACTGATCTTCAAAGAGCAAAGGAGAATGAGGGCAAACTTCCACACTCTGCATACATTTCTTTTTGTTGCTTTCAAGGCTCTCGCTATGTTCTCTGTTTTTCTTCTTCATCTTTATAAAGTGCAGGATACGAAAATAATTTGTACTTGCTTCTTATGTCTGCTTCACTTTCCCTGAATAATAAAAAGAAAAGAATTTTTACTCAAGTGTCATAATTTACACAAGAAAACTTCATGAAAGTCAACAACATACAATTGGATATCTTGATAATCTCCACATCAACACCGTTAAATAGAGTTACATGGAAGAAAAAACAAGGATAGTTAAAATTACCACTGGCACTACTTCAGAGTCATCCAGTTTTCCTAAAGAACCAAAACATTTAAGCTGTTGTGCTTTCAAATGCAATTTTACTTTGAAAAGTGACTAGGTAAAAGTTGGTCCAATAAGTGTCTAGAGATGAAAGTATACCTGCCATCCCCTGCATTCTTGACAGATTAACTACACAGCTGTTCTGCTCTGCAGACTCAGTTACAGTCTTCCCTCTGAACCTGAGACACAGACTGTTCACTTACAGAATCTACATGGAGACATTCCTCTTTCAACAACCTTGTCTCCCCAACAAGCTGGCCCCAAACAGCCACTTGGTTATAGGACTGTTCAACTTTCTTACCAGCTTTCACTCCATCTGAGACCTTCTCAAAGCTATCCACACTGGATCTTTCAAAAGGAAAGTCAGTGGATCCATTCACAACAGTAAATTTCTGGCTGTTAGGAACTGAAACTTTCTTGATTAAATCACTTTCACGCCCTTCAATTGTAGAAAACTGCTTGCAAAGACAACCATGAGGATTCCTTTCCCTAGGAGCTTTTCTAAGCAGCATTTCACTCCTCACAGAAATTTTGCCTTTACCCTCTTCACCTAGGGCTTGCACTCACATTCACGATCACCTTTGGGTCATCAGGTGGATTCCTACACAATTCCCTTTCAGGCAAACCCATAGACTCCCTAGATAAAGATTAGAAGCATTCTTCTTCCCTTTGCCACACACAAGTTCAGGAATCTTTTCCTTCTTGCTATAAGTTTCCACACCATCAGTAAGTAACACAATTAAATCACCTCTCTGCTCTCCTTGTTCCCTGGCTAGGGTATCATCTTGATTAGACAGAGTTGCTACACTCTTTCCCAGCCACACATTAGCAACAGGCAAAATACAAGCACAAGAATTGTCTGGTCTCTGGGATTTTGCTACAACACTAACTGGATGCAACCTAGTTACAGGGCCATTCTCCCTAGCAGATACAAACTTAGGACCATTCCCTTCCTGGGCCTTAATTGAATTCAGAACCAACTCTGAGACAACTGCACTACTCTCTGCCATCACAGGCTGAAAGGCACCTTCTGTCTGCTCCACAGACAAAGAAGAGCTGGAGACACATTATCCTTTACCAGACACACAGCTTGGGATCTCATTTCCCTTGTCCCAGCACACAGGGCTGTTCACAGACAACTGCTTGGAGACCGGGTTAGCTCCCTCCATAGGCAAGTCAATTCTCCTGACAGACACAGGTACATTTCCTTCACTGTCACAATTCTCCACACAGGAAACACTTAAGGTATAAGTTTCAGAGTAGCAGCCGTGTTAGTCTGTATTCGCAAAAAGAAAAGGAGTACTTGTGGCACCTTAGAGACTAACCAATTTATTTGAGCATGAGCTTTCGGGAGCTACAGCTCACTTCATCGGATGCATTCAGTGGAAAATACAGTGGGGAGATTTATATACATAGAGAACATGAAACAATGGGTGTTACCATACACACTGTAACAACAGAGTGATCACTTAAGGTGAGCTATTGCCAACAGGAGAGTGGGGGGAAAAAAACCTTCTCAATTCTTGATTCGTAGCTTTCTTTCTTAAGCTTATCGCCTTTTCTGAACACAAACCTTCCAGGGCCTTTTTTGCCAATGCGCTCATATGCTCTTCGCTCACCCATTGCAACTGCTCTTTAACCAACCAAACTCTCAATACCAAAATTCAAATTTGGATACCGTGGGGTTCTGACTTAAAGTTGAATTGACCTGGTTCTGTGGATCCAAGCATGACTACGCCACTGTAACGATGCTGGTTCTGGTGGGACCCAACTGAGTGTGCCAATTTAGGACAAATTGCTTAAAGCAGGGCAGTTACAGCCCAAGGCTGGGGTTTCTATGCACACCAAGGCAAACCAAACCAGCCAAACAGAGAAGCCTTCAGTTTTACCCCACTGGCTAACCACAAGTCACACAAGCAATTCCCTTAGACATGCCAGTTTCCCAGTATCACCACCAGTGCCACTCATTATGGGGACAGATAGTTATGAAAAACAATAAGCCAGTAAAAGAAAAAAGGTTCTCTCGATCCCAAAGGGCCAAGCCCCAAACCCAGGTCAATATACAAATCAGATCTTACCCACAAATCACACTGTTGCCAATCCTTTAGAATCTAAAATCCAAAGGTTTATTCATAAAAGGAAAAAGATATAGATGAGAGCTAGAATTGGTTAAATGGAATCAATTACATACAGTCATGGCAAAGTTCTTGGTTCAGGCTTGTAGCAGTGATAGAATAAACTGCAGGTTCAAATCAAGTCTCTGGAGTACATCCACAGCTGGGATGGGTCTTTCAGTCTTTCAGTTCAAGGCTTCAGTGTAGCAAAGTTCCTCCAGAGGTAAGAAGCAGGACTGAAGACAAGATGAAGGAGCTGCAGCAGCTTTTTATATTCTCTTGCCATGTGGTCTTTCTTCCTTTGTTCCAAAGACAAGCTGTCCATCACATGGCATGGAAAAACCTCAAAGTTCTGTCCATAGGCATGTTCCTGCATACCTTGCTGAGTCCCAAGGCATGTCTGCCTTCATCAAGCAGGCTAGGCAGAGCTTACACCACCTCATCTGGGGTGTCACCGAAAAGCATAGCCCAAGTTTGAAATACAGACAGCATAGAGCCAATACTTATAACTTTAAATACAAAAATTATACATGCATACAGATCACACAGTCATAACCAGCAAACCATAACATTGTCTTAGACACCTTATTTGACCCCCTTTATACAAAATTTGGTGCCACTACAAGACCTTGGTTGCAACCATGTTCTATATGGTCCCAGTTCAAGTCAATAACGTGACACAAGGTAGTTACCACCTTTGTAAAGGTTAAGGCTTGTCTGGACACACTCCAAAGGTTTGTTCCTAGTGTAGCTGGGGAAATGTTTTGGAGAGCATCAGGACTAGTATACAAAAGTGATAAAGCTTTTGAGTTAATTAGCCATCAGTTAACCCAAGGTAAAAATCTTCAGTAGGGACAAACCCTCTGAGGGCTTCCTCTATTCCTTCCCCTTTTTTCTTCGAGAGAGACAAGGTGGGTGAGATAATATCTTTTATTTGGACCAACTTCTGTTGGTGAGTGAGACAAGCTTTCGAGCCACACAGTACACCATTTATAGCTGCAGCTACGTTAACTAAATGAAGAAATCAAGCATGCTGCCATGAACCATTGACTCTCTGGCCTCTCTGCTGAGTCTGCCAACAAAGGAACTGATTAGTCAGTAATAGTTTTTATCATCTCATTACCTGATAGATAACCCTAAATTAATTCACACCAACAGCCATTCCATGGCCAGACAGTAGTTACAAGAGAATGGTAGGACTGAATCACATGCCCACCCCAGGGAGGCAAGTTACTGTGTTGAAGCTAGTACTGCGATTCTTCCCAAAATACCATCCCCAGCCGCACTTACTCCCGCACAAAGGGCCTTGGTTCTGGTGTCCCAAGCCATTACGCTTTCTGCCCATAATCCTCCGCAGAACCACTAGCCCCGCCTTCCTTCCTTACTGCCCCCAACCCTTCATCCATCCTTTCCTCCCTCCCGGCCCCCAACCTTCCCTCCCACCACTCGCCCCCTCACTGCCCCCAATCCTCCATCCATCCATCCATCCCCCATTCATCCATCCCTAATCTTCCATCCCTCCCCACTCGCCCCCTCACTCCCCCAACCCTCCCACCACTCACCCCCTCACTGCCCCAATCCTCCATCCCTCCCCTCACTACCCCATCCCTAATCCTCCATCCATCCATCCCCACTCACCCCCTCACTGCCCCAATCCTCCATCCATCCATCCCCACTCACCCCCTCAGTACCCCAATCCTCCATCCACGCCTTCACACATCCCTAATCCTCCATCCATCCATCCCCACTCGCCCCTTCACTGCCCCAATCCTCCATCCCTCCCCTCACTCCCACATCCCTAATCCTCCATCCCTCCCCCACTCTCCCCCTCACTGCCCCAATCCTCCATCCATCCATCCCCACTCACCCCCTCACTCCCCCCAACCCTTCATCCCTCCCCCACTACCCCCACTCCAAAACCATTCCGCTTTCCGCCCCGCATCGCCGTCACTCCTCCGACCCACCATCTCCCCGCTACTCCAATTTCAGGCCGCTCCCCCCGCCCCGTACCGGTCCGGCTCGGCTTTCCGCAGGACACAGCAGCACCACCAACGCGCCCGCCTGGCTCCCGGAAGCGCCCGTCGCCATCGGGCTTCCCCCGGGCCGAAAGTGTCTTAGCCGAGTTCCGCTGCCCCATGGACCGGAAGTGTCCCCCGCCGGACCTGAGGCGGAACGGAGCTGAGTTCCTCTGTCACGGGCTGGCGGCTGCGCTGCTTCCGCTCGGGAGGGGAGAACGCGGGGCCCCGCCGCGCCTGCTCCTTAGCGGGCTGGGCCTGGCCGGCTGGGCCTGGGCTCCACCTGGGCCGATCCCCTCCCCCCCCGGGCCGGGCCAAGCCAAGCCAAGCCCCCCCTTGTCCCGCACGGGGCGCTGCTGAGCCCATCGGCTTCGTCCAAGGGGAAATCTGCACAGCCCGACACGTCCCACGGAGGCCTCAGTACACATGGGTCCCGTTCCCCCCCCGCCCCGGTTGTACATCAGTGGTACCAGAGCCTAACAACCAGCCTGGCACCCTGCCTACAGCTTCCTGGAAACCTGCCTGGGGAGCTGCTTTTGTTGGTCAAGCTGGCAGGAAGGTCAAAAGTAAACACGTGGCCAAAAACTGTGTTTTAAAGATTTCCATTCTCGCTTTGCGTGAGCAATACAGGTGAGAAAATATTTTAAATCGACCATGTCATTAGCTGGTGGGAAGGCCTGCTCCTGCAAATCACTTCACCCGGACACAATAGTGCACCTGCCTGCAGTACAGAAGTTTCAAAGACTGTTTAAAAAAAAAAAAAAAAGAACTTGCACAGTTGAGGTGCGTGGTGCTCATTTGCTTTAAAAAGCTAAAAGCAGAAATATCCATTTGCCTGTCACATCTGGTCAAAAGCTCATCCAGCATGATGATCATCAGTGATCTGAAGTGGAACATCCAATTAGGATGTTTTGATGAAAAAATGCAGCTAACCTTGCCGAGTGGGCATTTTGCTTTTCTGCTTTGTCCTGCCGATCACAGCGACTGGTAAAAGTGTATGTCCTGCTTCTTTTCGTGGTTGCTGTCGGGTCAGGTGAGTAAAAGATTTGCTTAGCAACAACATTTTAAGGATGCATTTCCTTCAGAAATTAAAAATTTGAATCTTTCAGTGAGGATTATAGCAGTCAGATTCTAGTGGGGGTATAACAACTTTAGGCTGTGATCCTGGAAAGACGTACACAATTTGTTAGGCTCAAATAAATTTGTTAGCCTCTAAGGTGCCAAAAGTAATACTCGATCTTTATACACAGATACTTAATTTTATGCACTGTGAGCAGTGCAAAGCTAAGGCTGGGCACAAGTCTTTTTAAGATTGGAGTCTGTGTTTTTTTGAGTAATCTATAGTTGAATGTATGCACAAGGTTTAATGGGGCTTCAGTAGTATTTGCCAAAAAGATGTGTTGGAAGTATTACAAGGAATCTAGAATTTTCACTCTGCTTCTCAACTCAGTGATTAAGAAGCCTTAAAATCCATGCATTCTTTAGAGTCCAGGACACAACTGTATGGATTGGTATTTAACAAACTTTGGTGTGCAAGTACCTTCATGCATGAATACTACTCCAAAGCCAGGGAGAAATTTCACTAGTTCTTTAGCTTCTAAAAGTTAAGAAACACAGATGCTTGCTAAATATTGAACAGACTTCCTGAGAAGAACAAAATATCCCCGCCCCGTGTCAGGGACAAGAGCAAGATGGCTAAAATAGATAAGTTGAGAAAAACAGGAAACAGATGAATGGAAGAGATGACATGTATTACTGTGCGTGATCTGTGCATGATTGATATGAAGGAACCAATTAGGATGTTTTGATACAAAAATGCAGCATGCATATAGCATGAGAGATCAAATATGGACAAGGAAAATTAATGATTAGATATGGGCATCGTGCAAATGTACAGGTTATATAAGGGTATAAAATGATGTGAACTATTGAAAACAATCAGAGCAATGCAGGACACACACGACTGACCCAGTAAGGACGTGGTGATGAAAGAAACCGCCTACCTGCTCCCCAGGACTGGTAACTGATCATTATCCTTTCTCGTTTTACTTATGCACTTATATTTTATGCTTGAAGGTAGTAGTATATTGTCCTAAAATTCTCTTAATAAAGTTTTGAAATTGATTAAGCTTGCTAAATTGGTGTGGACCATGTTTTTCCACTCAACAATATTTAACCAGATATTAACAATAGATCATAGTATGAGTCCAGTTCAAGGAGAGTGGTAATGTGAGCAGTTCCATCCATGTGTGCTTCTTTTACTAGTTACAACTTCAACTCAGACATCAAATGGCTCTCCTCTTGTCCCTCCCTCTCTGACAGTCTGGCTGCAAGCTAACAGCAGACAGAATTCCAGCAAACCCTGATGAGTCTACTTTGACAGCTTCCCATTTGCCAGGCAAATATCTTTTACTGGACCAACTTCTGTTGGAGAGAGACAAGCTTGCTGAAAAGCTTGTCTCTCTCACCAACAGAAGTTGGTCCAATAAAAGATGTTACCTCACCATCACCCACCTTGTCTTTCTGTTAGCACTTTGTATTGTCAGGTTGGGATATAATCAGTTCCCCTGTCATTTGTTGAGGCATTCACGTGGAATAGAAAGGACCGAAAAAAGAGGATTATAAAAATACCAGAGTTGGCTGGGGTGGAGGGAATCAGCTATATTACAGGTTCCAGGTACTACCTGATATGTTTCCCCCCGTAACTGACTAGGTTTCTGGGAGGTGGTGTCCCTTGTAATGTTGAGCTAAGGCAGCCATTTAATCTTTCCATGGTTTTGGGGGAAGCAAATTGTCAGTTTTCAGAACGGAGAGATAAATAGTGATGTCCCCCAGGGGTCTGTTCTGGGACCAGTCCTATTCAACATATTCGTAAATGATCTGGAAAAAGGGTAAACAGTGAGATGGCAAAATTTGCAGATGATACAAAATTACTAAAGATAGTTAAGACCCAGGCAGACTGTGAAGAGCTACAAAAGGATCTCACAAAATTGGGTGACTGGGCAACAAAATGGCAGATGAAATTTAATGTTGATAAATGCAAAGTAATGCACATTGGAAAACATAATCCCAGCTGTACATATAAAATGATGGGCTCTAAATTAGCTGTTACCACTCAAGAAAATGATCTTGGAGTCGTTGTGGATAGTTCTCTGAAAACATCCACTCAATGTGCAGTGGCATTCAGAAAAATGAACAGAATGCTGGGAATAATTAAGAAAGGGATAGATAATAGGACAGAAAATATCGTGTTGCCTCTATATAAATCCATAGTACGCCCACATCTTGAATAGTGTGGGCAGATATGGTCACCGCATCTCAAAAAAGATCTATTGGAATTGGAAAAGGTTCAGAAAAGGGCAACAAAAATTATTAGAGGTATGGAACGGCTTCTGTATGAGGAGAGATTAATAAGACTGGGACTTTTCATCTTGGAAAAGAGACAACTAAGGGGAGATATGATTGAGGTCTATAAAATCATGACTGGTGCGGAGAGAGTACATAAGGTCCTGTTGTTTACTACTTCTCACAACACAAGAACTGGGGGTCACCAAATGAAATTAATAGGCAACAGGTTTAAAACAAATAAAAGGAAGTATTTCTTCACACAACGCGCAGTCCTGTGGAACTCCTTGCCAGAGGATGTTGTGAAGGCCAAGACCATAACAGGGTTCAAAAAAGAACTAAATAAGTTCATGGAGGCTAGATCCAGCAATGGCTATTAGCCAGGATGGGCGGGGATGGGGTCCCTAGCCTCTGTTTGCCAGAAGCTGGGAATGGGCGACAGGGATGGATCACTAGATAATGACCTGTTCTGTTCATTCCCTCTGGGGCACCTGGGACTGGCCACTGTCGGAAGACAGGACACTGGGCTAGATGGACCTTTGGTCTGACCCAGTAGGGACATTCTTATGTAGGTTGGGCCCGGGTTTCCTCCTCCATCTGCTGCTGCTTTGGAACAGCAAAAGGCCTGTCAAAGGGCCAGTTCCCCAGCAGGGCAGCTGCAGGGGTTAAGGATGGAGGCGGGGTTAGTGCCTGGGACCCCCGCCCCTTAGTAATTTTCCCCACGCCCGAACTCTTCCTTACTATACAGAGCCTGTTAGCGTCCTTCGTTGTCCTGGCAACGGGCCGCTCCATCACTAAGCGGGGGCGCGTCTCCTCACAGCGGTCCCTATTGGGCCCCCAGAGCTGTAGCCCCGGTGTGGTGGGTCTCAGGGCCGGGGTCTCTGCCTCTCGTCTCTCCCTGCGCGCGCAGGGTGCCTCTGCCCCAGGTGGGGGGTGTCTCCGCTTTCCCACTCCCGAACCTCCCCCACCCCCCGCCGCGTGGTGCGGTCTAGGGGGCCGGGAGCCAGCGGCACCGTGTTCCCGAGCGCCGGAGCGGGACCCCCCGGCCATGGCGGCGGCCCCCAGCGGCCCCAAGGAGCGCCCCCGGCGCCGCAGCGCCAGCCAGATCTGCCCCCCGCCGCGGCGGCCCAGGACCCTGGCCGAAGTGCAGCCGGGCAGCGAGAACGAGCGGCTGGGGGTGGCCCGAGACAGCATGGTGCAGAACCCGCTCATAGCCAAGGTGAGGGGGCCCCCCCAGCAGAGACCCCCCCATAGACCCCACCCAGCCTGGGTAATCCCTAGCCCAAACACCCACCTTCCGCCGAACAGCATGGTGCAGAACCCGCTCATAGTCAAGTGAGGGCCCCAGCAGAACACCCCCCATAGACCCACCCAGCCTGGGTAATCCCTAGCCCAAACACCCACCTTCGCCGAACAGCATGGTGCAAACCGCTCATAGCCAAGGTGAGGGGGCCCCCCAACAGAGACCCCCATAGACCCCACCCAGCCTGGGTAACCCCTACCCCAAACACCCACCTTCGGAACAGCATGGTGCAGAACCCGCTCATAGTCAAGTGAGGGGCCCCCCAGCAGAGACACCCCCATAGACCCCACCCAGCCTGGGTAATCCCTAGCCCAAACACCCACCTTCCGCCGAACAGCATGGTGCAGAACCCGCTCATAGTCAAGGTGAGGGCCCCCCCAAGCAAACCCCCATAGACCCCACCCAGCCTGGGTAATCCCTAGCCCAAACACCCACCTTCCGCCGAACAGCATGGTGCAGAACCCGCTCATAGTCAAGGTGAGGGGGCCCCCCCCAGCAGAGACCCCCCCATAGACCCCACCCAGCCTGGGTAATCCCTAGCCCAAACACCCACCTTCTGCCGAACAGCATGGTGCAGAACCCTCTCATAGCCAAGGTGAGGGGCCCCCCAGGCGGAGACCCCCCCATAAACCCTCCCAGCCTGGGTAACCCCTACCCCAAACACCCACCTTCCGCCGAACAGCATGGTGCAGAACCCGCTCATAGCCAAGGTGAGGGGCCCCCCTCATAAACCCCACCCAGCCTGGGTAACCCCAACCCCAAACACCCACCTTCTCCCAAACAGCATGGTACAGAACCCGCTCATAGCCAAGGTGAGGGGCCCCCCTCATAAACCCCACCCAGCCTGGGTAACCCCTACCCCAAACACCCACCTTCTCCCCAACAGCATGGTGCAGAACCCGCTCATAGCCAAGGTGAGGGGCCCCCCTGGCAGAGACCCCCCTTATAGACCCCCTGCCCCAGCCTGGTTAACCCCTACCCCAAACACCCACCTTCCCCCAAACAGCATGGTGCAGAACCCGCTCATAGCCAAGGTGCGCCCCCCCCAACAGAGACCCCCCCCCATAGACCCCACGCAGCCTGGGGGGATCCCCTGCCCCAAATACCCACCGTCCCCCACACTGCACAGTGAAGACCCCACTCATAGCCAAGGAGAGGGGTAACCCTCCATAGGAGCCCCCAGATACAACCCTCCCCTATCTTAGAGCCCTCCAGGACCCTCATCACTCCATCCTCCACCCTAAGTGAGCAATCCCTCCACAAGTAGATTTCACACTTCCGGGGGAGAGCATGGTGTAGAATCAACTTGTTTTCAAGGTGAGGTACTTGGGTGTCCACCTGGAAGACACTCCATCCATGTCCCCCAAGGATAAGAAAGAGCCTGT